AGACTACAATTTGCTGGGGAGAAGTGGGACAGAGAGTAACGGGTGGCACAGAGATAGTGCTGAAATCACCCGAGCAGACTCAGCAGGTCAGGCAGAGGTTACTGACGACACAAAGTCGCCAGAAGAGTCATGCGGACAGGCTACGATCCGAGCTAGAATTTCAGGTCGGAGATTTTATGCTCCTGAAGGTATCTCCATGGAAATGGGTGATCTGATTCAGTAAGCGGGGTAAGCCGGGACCCCGATACATCGATCCTTTCAGAGTGACCGCCAAAGTAGGTAGAGTAGCATACCAATTAGAGCTACCTGCGGAGTTGAGTCAGATCCATAACACCTTCCACATGTCCCATTTGAGGAGGTGTGTAGTCGATGAGATGACAGTAGTACCACTGGAGGACCTTCAGGTAGATTTGAGCCTGAATTATATTGAGAGGCCGATCGTGATTTTGGATCGAAAAGTGAAGGTTCTGAGGAATAAGGAAATGCCCCTGGTTCAGGTCCAGTGGCAACATCGGAGACGATTTGATTTGACTTGGGAGTCGGAGTCAGAGATGTCGGAGCAGCATCCAGAATTATTTGCGGAGCATGACTTCGAGGGCGAAGTCTGATTCTAGTGGGGGAGAGTTGTAACATCTGGTTTTCCAGGTATATTATTTATTTATTTATTTGTGAGGATCATTGGGCAACTCAACGAGGTGGTGCTACAACTCGTCGAGTATGTAGGATTAATAACCTACTCAACAAGTTCGAGAGTTGACTCACAGAGTAGGCGCTGTGAGATGAAACCATAAATCCCTGGGTTTGGGGCCTATATAAGAACATTTATAGCCTCCATTGCGGCTCCCCATCTGCTTACCTTCACTGAGAGAAACCCTAATCACCCCCTTGTGCTTTAGAGAGAGTGTTGAGCTAATTTTGAGAACTTTTGGTGCATTTTTGGAAGAGAATAGGAGGATCTTAAGCAAGGAATAAGAAGAGGTTGATAGATATGTTGCTAAACATTCAGGAACTTCTGTTTAAGGTATAAAGTTTGTACCTTTTTCATTTGTATGGGTAGATCTCATGATTTTAAAGTTCAGGGTTTCTTTTCCATCTTATTTTGGGGACGTTGAAGGTTTTGAACACCTTTTTAGATATGGGCATCATATCTGGACCTTGTGAGGTCCCTAGAGTTGAAAGTTCCCTGCTTTATTCAGCCATGTTAGCTCCTTGAATGAGAAACTTCTTCTCAAACATGTTTTTGGCATTTCTAGCCCAAAGTGTCATGCATGAAACTTAAGCTCGTGGCTTTACGTGATATTCAAGCCATGAGAGCTTAGATCTAGAGTGTGAGAGGGTTTTCTGCCTTGAAATCGTCTGAATGCCAATTGAGTCTGAATGGACTCGCCGAGTTGATGAGCCAACTCGACGAGTCGGTTACGGTTTGTCCCGATGAGCTGAACCATGCAATAGCTCGGCTCGTTAGGGGTTAACTACTCGGTGAGTCAGGTTAACTTGGACTATTGACTTGACTTTGACTTTTGTTGACTTTAGGGTTTGGGAAAAGTGAATAATGGATACCAGGGAGGGGTAAAATGGTCTTTTACCCACTCCTAGTGATGGAGTGGAAGAGAGAACAACTTGTGGAGTATTTGAGTAAGAGTAGAGTATTAATTAGAGATAATTATCCTATGTTTTAGGCGGAGCCTAGATCGAGGCTTCTGAGTTCGAGACTTTTACTTGTTAGCTTACGAGGTGAGTCTTCTCACTATACTTTACCTAGAGTGGTATTTATGTGTGACCAGAGGGTCTTATGTGCTTATTTGAGTTATGCATTTGTTTGTGTGATATATATGATATATTATGTGTTACTGAGACCAGACCTGAGGGTCCAACGAGCTGTGAGAGCGGAGGGTCCTCACTGAGACCAGACCAAAGGGTCCAACGAGCCATAGGACTGGAGGGTCCCATTGAGACACACAGACCGAAGGGTCTTACAGAGTTACAACCTCGAGTGGCTAATGTGTTGTATGTGGTATTTTTGGGAAACTCACTAAGCTTCATGCTTACCGTGTTATGTGTTATGTGTTTCAGGTACCTCTCAGGATCATGGGAAGGCGTCGGCATGATTATACACACACATCAGAGTTTGAGTTATGATTGAGAGGATCCTTGAGTTTTATATATACATAGTTTCTGACTATGGGTCTTGATGTTTTGACATTGTGACGTTTTGGGATTTTGTTACTGTGATAATTGTGTTTTATTTTGAAATTGAAAATTTTGGTTTGAAAAATTTACGTCGTTACATCACATGATTTGAAAATGTACCTGAAAAACATTAAGCTTAGTGAGTTCTCCAATATACTACATACCAAAATACACATATAATTCATACAAACAGAGACTCTCGGCTCTGGTGTCGATCCACATACAAACAAGTCGCTCGTCTTTCGTGTTGATCCAACTGACCACAACTAACGGTTCTCATGCACATCTACTCACGACTAACAACTCTAGTGCATGTCTAGTCATCCCAATAGTTAATGACTCTTGTTCACATCTAACCCTGAATGTGTGAGTAATCTAGGCTCTCGGATCTCGTGCCGACCCACCGTCAACTCCCCAAACATAACATATCAACATATCATACTATCTAACAATCAAACAATCAACAAGAAAAAGACTAAGCTAGCCTACTTGACTAATCAACATACCATAATACATCTACATCCTAGCAAACAATGGACATATACTATAACTCATAGTATAATGACAAAATGCACTTCAAGCAACAAAGACATAATAAAACCACTGAAGTCGCTAAGATGAATTCATTCTAAGTAGCTAAGGTGAATTCATTCTATGAACAACTACATCCCATACCAGTAACTCTATTTAGATCATTTCTTGATAAATACGCATATTGTACTTCATTTATACTTTTAATTTCAAAAACCTTCTTGAACTATTATATTGTACACACACAACTATATATATATATATATATATATATATATATATATATATATATATATATATATATATATATATGGGTATTCATGATTCAAACATATTCTTAGGTTTACACACACATAACCCTAAACTGGAGATTATTTCGTGTTTTAAACACCCACACCTAACCAAACTTGAAAGACATGAGGAAGGCTATGCTTTGACAGTAAAAAGTAAGTTAAAAATCATATTTAACGGAACAAGAGTATTCACAAAGTATAGCTTTTCAGTTTTCAGGACAATAAAAAGATGTTGTTTCTTTGTTCAAGGCATCAATGCAAGACCAAACGATTTAAGGGTGTTGAATACAAGTCTTAGCAATACCTAACATGGTCCCCGGCAAATTTATACGCTCAAAAAAAAATCTCAGTTTTTACAAAAATCCTGTAAATTGCATTTTTCCAACGGTTAAAGGGTCGTCGGAGGTAGCTCTGGCCTCTACAATGACGGGGAAGTCCAAAGGTGCTACTAGGGACGAAGTGAAGCTTAAACATACCTTAGGGTGATTTGGTTTGAGCTCTACAATCGACTCTTCCTCACGAAATCCTAATCCGACAACCACACTTTCACTCACGTTTTCTTCTTATCGGAGTTGTAAGATAGAGTGGAGATGGCTGTTATCAGGGCTATAGGAGAGAGTGGGGACGACTTTTAGCTATCAGACAAGATGTCTTTCCAAATAACATATTGACATTATTTCAAAATACTTTTAATCAACTCAGTGAAAACTAAACAATTGAAATTGACCTTAAAACGGAAATTGTGAATGATAGTAAAATTAAAATTGAACTTAACTTAACTCGACCATGAAGTATTTTCACATTTACTTTTGACCTAAGAAGGATCTTGATGAACTCACTTGACATAAAAAAAAGATCACAATGAACGACCTTGAACTAATAATATGTGATAGGTCGTTGAGAAAATGTTAAATGGCTTGTAAAAAAGCTAACTGGATTTATTAGAAAAGGGACCTCTATGAAGTTTCAACTAAAAAAAAGGCAAATCTAGTACTTCAGTCTTCAGCTTTAAGATTTGCATGCAATGACTTAAGTCTTAAAATTTAAAAAACAATTATGTTTGAAATTAGCGAGTTAGTACTGTTATACAAAGATAAGTTAATTTATTATAATTAAACGTTTTATAAATTATAAAAGTAATTTATAAATTAATTTATTGATAAACTAACTTATAAACTAAAATCTAGTTTTTCATTCGTTCGTAAAATAGAAACCTTTTTCGTAATAGTTCATAGTAAAATAGTTTATTATATAGTCCGCAGCAAATACTATTAAAAAAATATACTCTAATTTTTTTCTTTTATTGTGAAAATGATTTTCAAAATGCGAAATTATTATTCATAATACAAAATTGTTCATATTTACGAAAATCATATTCTCTATTCTAAAATGAAAACAACTTTTTTCGTAGCTCGAACATGAATGTTAGGTTGAAACAAATTTTTCAAAAAAAATTCTTATCAAAATGAGGAAAACTTTTCAAAAAAAAAAAATCATTAAATATAAGACCAATTTTAGCAAATGGTGCATTTATAGTAGAATTGCACAATGCTGATTATTTTATATAAGAATTTCCTTTAGCTATTTTACGATAAATCTTAAGATAAGGTGACTAGATTTACTTTTTCTTCTCCGATATATCAACTTTCTATATATGCTAAATATAAAAAGTTAAATCGATCATTAAGATTTGTGCTTTTGAAAACTTAAAATAAACAAACGACAGACACATAAAAGAAGCATTAAATACCATAAATATTACCATAATTAAATATAAAATTTATTTATTATGAAAATTATTAATATATTTCACATTGACAATATTTTCTTAAAATAAATAAATATCACATTTAAATATGATAATATTTATGATATTAAATGTTTTTTTATATGTGTGCGCACATATTAAAAAATTCCAATAAACAATAATTTAAAAATATACACATATATATTACTTACTATATTTGATTATATAAATTCATATTTGCAATTTTAAATAAAATAATGAAGCTTACGATTTCTCACATTTTTAACTGAGATAATAAATAACGATAAAAAAAATTTAATTTAATTTTGGATTTTATATTTCACAACGATATATACAGAGGAAATTGAAGTAATTTCAGTATGAATTTAATTCATCGGAATAACAATATGCGGTGGTTTCAGCGGTGGTTTCGTAACCACTTCCACCGTGATTTTCTCTTCTCGCGGTGGTTTACACGGACACGGCAATGCTATAAACTTCGCGATCCGATCTCCCGGCATTATCACCGGTAAACTCTGTTTCTCTACTTTATCCTTTTCCTGTTCACCAAAACACAAACACATTACAAAAATGCTACAGCAATGGCGGATAACTCAAATTAGTTAAACGAATCGAATCAATTAAATTACCGCGAATGTAGGATTTGGTTTGGAAGGAGAGTCATCGGAATCAGCTTCGGCTTCGGCCATCGATCCTCGGAGATGGCGGAGCTTGTCCCAATGGTAACAACATGAGAAGAAACCGCTGAGGCTGAATATGATGATTAACAGTAAGGCGGTGCCGAGAGGAAACCCTAACGTCGGACGATATGAATCGGAATGGTGTTGCGGTGGTTCGTAGTAGGGAGGAGTAGGACTCTCCACCAGTCTGAGTACAACTTCCATAGCTTCTGGTACAACTTACAAGGTAACAATAAGTACAACAATGGTGAATTGATGATGATGATCGTGTAATATGTTTGATCGGAGGCTTACGGTGGTCGGAAAAGAGAGAAGATCGGAGAAACGATGTAGATAGTGGGAATTGGAAGGGGAAATTTATAAGGGATTTGAGGGTGTTAGTGGGTGCATGCGTGTAAAGGGGGGCTGCAATTTGTCATGTCCGGTGGAATGTACGGACGGCGGAGGGAGGATTGGTAGTGGAGGTAGGTTTAACATTCTCACTGCTTTAGAGATTTTATTTTTATTTTTTTAATTTTATTCTCTGCTTAAAATCTGTTTTTTTTTTATTAAAAATAAATATAGTAAATCCATGTTTCGTATTATTTGTGATTTGATTTGTAAAAAAATAATTAAATAAGTGAAACATGGTTTAATTTAATGTTTTTTTATAATAGTTATGGTTTTTTTGTTGTAAATAAGTTATATATAAAATTATAAATAAAATTGCTAAATATATTTAGTTTAATGTGAATAGAATGTTGTGTACACATAGCCTCAATAATTCATATGGAAATGACAATTTAATCATTATATACATATTTTGTTATAGATATTTATTAATTTTAGGATAAAAGAAGTTGGAAAGACAATAAAATACACAAAAATGAAAAATGTGTATTTCTTTTATTTTAAAATACAAATTTTCACTTGGTAGATGATTTAATAAAAAATAATTGATGGATCAAAGTTAAAATGATCACTTTTACTTGTTAAAAATATAATTTAACCAATATTAGTGATGAGAGGGAACAAATTATCAGATGCCTCGTCATTCTTTTATTAGAAATATTTAAACTGATTTGGATGCATATAAAAATTTAACAGAATATTTAAATATAATTAGAAAAGAATAAAAAATACGTACAATTATTTTTTTAAAAAAAATGTTTTGTACACAATTTATTTGTTTTTAACTTGGATTATCTAAAATTATAGCGGTGGCTTTTGTTTTGTTTCTTCTATTAAGAAAACATGGGACAGCGACTGTTACAAAAAGAAATATAAAGGTGTTTATATGAAGAGTGAATTACACGAATAATCAATATGGTTTAGGATAATTTATAAATTTGATCCCTAACTTATTTTTAATTCGGAAGGTCCTTATTTTTTGTTTTTGTTATGTGTTTGATCTCTGTCTTACCTAAAAACACTATTTGTCCTTAATTTTTTAATTTATTTAAATAAACACACCTCCAAGTTCATCCCTTCACTTTATCTTACCTACTTTATTATTTTTCTCTGTTTAAATAATAGTATTTTTAGGTAAAATAGAAACCAAACGTATAGCAAAAACAACCAGTAGTGACCAAATACGTAACAAAAACAAAAGTAAAGACCTTCTGGATTAAAAAAATAAATTAAGGACCAAACATGTAAATTACCTCAAACCATAAGGATCATTCGTATAATTTCCTCTTATATGAATCATGTGTTTCTTTCTAGACGAAATTGCAAAAATGATCCTTGTAGTATGCATTTTTTCGGGGTTTTGGTCTAAACCACGAGTTTTTTTTGGGTTAGTGGTCCTTTTGATTATGTTTGCTTGTAGTTTTGGTCCCTCGGAAAATAGAAAAGACTAAAATGCCATTTTTAATATATTTTATACATTTTTTCTATTTTATTAAAAAGAAAAAGAAAGAAATATCTAATTTGGGCCCACCGTCCACCTTCTCTCTCTCTCTCTCTCTCTCTCTCTCTCTCTCTCTCTCTCTTTCGTCGAAAGTCAATGACTAAAAAAAGAAACTGCAAATTTTCTTTTTCCTTCCTGATCAAACTTCCTAAACCCATTCACCACCTTCACCTCCATGTTTAGACCCACCAAAATTTCTTTTCCCACCTACATTCTCATCATTAACACCACCACTACATCATCACCCCTACACCACCATTACCCCGCCATAGACCCACCACCGGTGACCTTTGACCACCGTGAACCACCCTCAATCACCCATCCTTCACATTCTTTTTTTTCTTCTTCTGTTCATTTCTTTCTTACACTGTTAAGCACAACAACCACCAAGAAGGGGTGGTGATGTTGTTGTAGTTGTGCCATCGAGAACCACCAGGAGCTGCCTCCAGCCTCCACAATTTGTTTTTCCCTTGGGCTACCAATGCAAACCACCACCACCCACTATAATCGTTGTTGTCGAAAACACCTTCCCCGACCTTATTCTCATCCCCAACTCATAGTTTCTGTAAATCAGGAGCAAGAACGAAACGATAGGAGGTTATCGAAGCTCCATTACCTGCCTGCAATGCTAGCCCACTCTACCGTCACCACCCGGTCCCACCTTGGTCGCTGCCACTGTGAGGACTCCAACCATCGCCAACCACTGATACGATCGACAAAACAAAATCATAAAAGAATGGCGGTGCAAGGGAATTTACGGTGAAATGAGAGGCAGTAGGAGGTGGTTGGGCTCAACAACAACAAGGTGACAATGGCTGGTGTTGTGATGAAGGAAGGAGGCGACAACCTCATGCTGCCGGTTTCTGTTGCTTTCTGATGAAGACGAAGATAAAAGGGGATAGAGGGGCCTCACAAGTAGCAGCATAACAACAATGGAGGGTGGTGGAGGGGCTGTTTTTGGTGGTGGCAGTGGATGGTGACGAGGTGGGAAAGGGGTTCCGAGGGTAGCTTTTCCTTCAGTTCTTTTTCTTGTTTTCGAGATGGAATCGAAGAGGGAGGGCTGGGCTGGTGGTGATGTGTTGTGCGTGTTACTGAGAGAGAGAGAGAGAGAGAGAGAGAGAGAGAGAAGAGGGCCCACTTTTATATTTATTAATAATAACAATTTAAAAAAGTAAAAGAAAAATAAAAACTAAATTTATTAAGGGTATAATAGTAAGTTTAGTTTGGATAAGGATCAAAACTGTAAGCAAACTAGCTCAAAAGGACCACCAACCCAAAAAACTCATGATTTGGACCAAAACCGTAAAAAAAATACATACTACAAGGATCATTTTTGCAATTTTATCTTCTTTCTATTTGTTTTTGTTCTAAATTTTAAAGAAATTTAACTATAACCAAATAATTCGTTTTTTTAAGAAATGTCAGAAATTACCGTACAATTCACTAAATTTCATATTCTCTTTCATATAGTGATTTTTGCACATTATATATATATATATATATATATATATATATATATATATATATATATATATATATATATATATATATATATATTAATTACCAAAGTTGGTATGTGAGGACTTTTGCTATTCATTTCAGCTTTTCATTCGTAGCCGTTCGATTTCCTTTTGCTTTTCATTCGTAGCCGTTCGATTTCCTTTTGGTATGTGAGGACTTTTGCTATTCATTTCAGAATAATGTTTTAGTTATAATATAAGTTAGGAGGTGTGGGAGTGCACACTTGTATTTACTAAATATTATTAGTATTGACCCCTAATCTACTGTATCAAGTCGGGGGTCCCGCTTATCTGTTGTTTGGATATTACAAAGTCTGATTTGTCATTCTTGAAAGACATTATTAGGTCTGATTTGTAATTCTTAAAAAATGGAAACTGCTGTGACTTATCCGTTGATTGGATAAACCTGTGAAAACGGCTATTGAAACACATAAGAAAACAATGAACGTATTTTAATTCATCTTCTTCAATTGTTCTGATTTTGTGCCTTAAATTGGAATTGCTGCATCAGGAATTATCCAAAGTTTGGATTTCGTGATACCGAAGGCATATAAGGTCGAAATATCAAACAAGAAAAGTATTAATACGATTCTTGTGTGTAATCCAGATTTCCAATAACCCTATTTCGTTTTTCCCCAACAATAATAATAATAATAATAAAGTAATTATGGAGAACCTCGAACATTGGATATGTATGAGTACTCGGTAACATTTTGTAGACTTTTAATGTCTACTCATGTTGTTTCTCTATTGCATATCATACATAATATATTATTGCATTTAATGTTTGATCATGTACTAATGTTTCGTTGAACCAAGGTCAAATTTTGACTTAACAAGAAACTAATGCAATGTTGTGTTCTGCTTATAATAGTTGTTGTCCTCTTCCATACGTTAAGACAGACAAAGAACGATCACAAATCCTATGGAAGATCTTGTTAATGTTGCTTCTCTTTGATCAACATAGTTCGTAACTTCAAATATTCAATACATAGAATTGTCCTAGTTTTGACTAACATAAATTGTCATAGGTTCTATAGACAAATTAGTCTATTATTTATATATTCTAAAACAAACTCTAAGTCAAGTCTTAAAACTGGTTATCTCAAGATATAGTACTAGCAATATGTAATCAAGATTAAATAAATGAACTTAACTGATTTGGTGAAGAACGTCCCTTTCACAATCCAAAATGATGAACATCTCTGTATGTCCACAGTGACAAATTTTGCTACGGAATTCCAAAAGTAAAGTGTATATGTTAAAAAATTCGGCTTAAATAAAGGGACTATATTTAATTTTTTTTGCTGTTGAATTCCAAAGGGTAAATATATATGTCAGAAAATTCGGCTTAAGGAGACCATATTTTTAATTTCGACCGATGCAGGGACCATACGAATTAGTGGTCGATTAGGATGTTACTGGTTAGGGTTTACACCCAAGTCTTTTAAGGTTTTGATTAGGTCTCGTATGTGTCTCCATTTATATGAGGTTTAACCTTACTATTTATTAATGAAGCATTCTATTATATAACATAACATGGTATCAGAGCTCTAGATTAAAATCATATTGTTGACCACAACCCGCTATCGTCGCCCTCCACCTCCAACGACGTTCTCTCATAATCCTCAGAGGTGTCTTCACTATGCTTCATATTTCATTCGTTTGTTTTTTTCCTCCTCCTAAATAATAAAACACACACTAACACCAAACTAGAGTTCTTACCTCGACCTTTTCTACTGCCTCGTTTGCTTATGTCTACTTGTCAGATGGCTCCTGCCTCTAAGCTTTCTGTCTTCTCCTCAACTTGTCTCTTCTTCAACTCTATTTTCTGAGTCAGTAGGAATAGACTCTATCCGCCGCAACTCGAGCCCTCTTTCATTCTTGCTGCTTTTCTCTGGATTCCTCTACCACCGATTCGATAATCGTCGTTGACTAGACGTCGAAGCGGCTTCTAATTTGATCTTATACATGCGTACACTCCGCACCAAGCCGTACACATATTAAAGTACAAATTATGAAGCTCCTTATCCCACATGCTAATTCTAGTTACATAAAATGACATTGTGATATTAAAATCATCAACAGAAAAATGTTCTATATTATATAATAGAATGTTTCATTGATAAATAGTAAGGTTAAACCTTATATAAATAGGGATATATAAGAAACCTAATCTAAACTTTAAAGGGCTTAGACCTAAGCCATAATCACTAACATCCCCTACAATTGTTGTTAGCCTGTCATCGTTAGAGTTCTACCACCTTCGTTGTCGCTGTCTTTATTTATGTTATGTTTCATGTTTTTTTTTAGTTTAATCGTCCCTCCCGATCAAAATGTGGGGGATGTTAGTGATTATGGCTTAGGTCTAAGCCCTTTAAAGTTTAGATTATAGGTTTCTTATATATCCCTATTTATATAAGGTTTAATCTTACTATTTATCAATGAAACATTCTATTATATAATATAGAACATTTTTCTATTGATGATTTTAATGTCACAATATCATTTTATGTAACTAGAATTAACATGTGAGTTAAGGGACTTCATAATTTGTACTTTAATATGTGTACGGCTTGGTGCGGAGTGTACGCATGTATACGATCAAATTAGAAGCAGCTTCGACATCTAATCAAGGGTCCGGAGGCAGAGCCCTAGGGGCAACGGCCCTAACGGGGTCCAATGGGCAGAGGCCCTGACTTGAGGGTGATTATGGTAAAACTAATGAAACTCGTTAGTTTTGGTATGCTTAAATCGTCATTAAAATCTGAATTACCTTGATTTGCTTCCAAAACAACTAATTACGGCTCAACCCTAATGAAACTCTGATCTCGTTTATTATACAAACGTATCTTCCTTCTGAGAAGAGATACATGAAATTTAGCTCTCGCTTTCTTCAAACTTTCACAGAATCTTTCTAGCATATTAGCTTACGATTTCTGTGTCTAGAATCGTAAAAATCCACTTGGATTATCTTAGATTGAATTTCTTGTAACTCATACATAGGGTAGAAATATCAGTTCAGAAAGTGTTCTCACGATCCAAGTTGGTATCCAGATCTTCACCATAAACCCTAGTTCCCAACATTTTCCAAAAATAAAAATAAAAAATCATTATGTTAAATCTCTTGTTCTAAAATGATAATTTTACTAAGAAAAAAAAATGGTATGTGGCGTTCACCGAATCACCACCAATGGTAAATGGATCTCATTAAATTTTATTTAAGGCTAAACATTATTTTTATTTATTTATTTTGGAAACGGTAAATATATATTAAAAGAACAAGATACTAAAACGCAAGCAAAAACAACAAGGTATCATATACAAGATAAATATGAGAAAGACGAGATACACCAATCCACCCAGCACCTAGCATTCTTAAAAGCGGGGTATTTCAAAAGTTACTAAAATTTGTTACACAACCGACAAAAGATAAAGAGAGCATTTTGTGACTTCATCCAATAAAAAGAATACATAAAGAGATATAGTGGACACTTAGATTATTTTTTATATTTTGTAATATTTTACTTTTTATTTTTATATTAATGTATAAAAATTTAATATTATTAATTGTAAATTTCTGCTTCGTAATGGCCATCAAAGTTTTTGTCTGTTTTCTAATTCTCAACAACTACATCTTCTTTTTCTTCTTTTAATTTCAAGAGCTCATATGGTTACTTGATAATTGAAGACTTTTAAATGATTGAGAAAAAAAATTAGTGTCTAAAAGACTAAAACATACTTATATATTAATATTAATATTAAAAACATTATTTATTTGTTGTTTTTCTGCTAGTGTTTTCTAAAATTATTGCGTATTTTACACTTAAAAATGTAGTAAAAGGCGTGCTTTAAATGACATAAAAAATATGATAGCTGCTTCCACTGACTGGAACGGTTGTATATATACTGTATCTAATATTGTTCTTTTCCATCACATAAGATTATGTTTTATATTTATCCTCCACAATTTGTAGAGGGTTCGAGGAGATCTGAAACTCTTCTTATTTCTGGAATAATAAACTAGAACAACATCTTGTACAAGAGAATGCAATGATCTTGTCAAAAGGGGTAATCGGAAGGATGGAAGTTTGTTTCTGCTGGCACGAAGATCCTAATCATGATTTATGTTTAACATAACATAAAAATAGACATACCTTAGGGAGAAAATTCGTAATTTATTCTAAGTTTACAAAAATAGTTAAAAAAATGGAGGATAGGACAATGATAATGTGTCTGAACTATCTTCTAGAGGAGTTTTATGAGAAAGACATGTACATGTGAAAATTCTAAATCGCATGATTGATGAAGGTTGAGAATGTGGGCACGAGT